CAGAAATGTTAGAGTTAGCTCTTCTAGATTATATGAACACTATCATTGAGTAATGCAATTCTTCACTCGCAAAAAAAGAAGATGTTTATGCTACCATTTGCTTTCTCTGACCGACCCTCTAGCCGCTCTGGCCTCGCCATCGAGAATCATCTCCTTTTAGAACTTCCACATCACAAAATAAGACTTCGAGTTTGGGAACTTCCTAATCCACACGAATTTTAAATCCCATTTTGATAAATATAACCCAATTTTTTTTTATGTGAACCATGTAGGAGAGCTGCATGTTTTATATTAAATGAGAGAAAGTACAAACGGCCAATAGACACTGTCCAAAAACAACGACACAAGAAAAGAACCAACAAAAAGCACAACTTTGTTCAGAACACACCTAAACAACCGTTTCATCATAATTATAAGTAAATGTAATACTCCGGCCCCTCCCACGTTGATAATACCTGATGAAGGTATAGGCATAATTCGTTTCGAACATATCTGAACAACCGTTTCGATTGTTCGCTCAATAAACATTTTTAAAATGACACATATAATTTTAAAACATCCTCCATACATATGATGAAAGTTTTAATATTTTAAGGAAAACTGCGCTTGGCCGATCCATCTAGGGGGGGCGCTTGAGGAGAGCGCATCATTCACCTCGCTTCAAGCCAGGATACAACTGCAGGAGCTATATCTCACTTATAGCAAGATAGAAGCTCCACTCGCCTGAACGATTTTCGTATAGCTACAGTACCAGGTCGGCCCAATTCGCGATCAATGTATGGGTTTTTTAGCGCATTTCTTCCGTGTGCTTTTTGGTTTTTTCCTTTTAGCTGGTTTATTCAGGTTTTTTATTTTCCGTTTCTTACTTTTCGTTTTCTTGTTTATTTATTAGTTTTAGCCGGCTTCATCAGTTTCCTCTTATTTTCAATATGTTCCATGGTTTTGCATCGGTTTCTTTGCTTTTTCTTTGTTTCTTTACCATATTTCTTTGTTTTTTCTTCAACACATGTCTACATTTTCATACACACTAGTAATTTTACATATATGCCAGAAACATTTTTCTGTACAAGTTTAATTTTTTTGAATACATGATTAACAATTTTAAATGCCTTTTTTTGAACAAAAGTTTTATTTGATGACTAAATTTTTCATACACATTGCATATTTTTGGTATATATTAGGAACATTTATTATACATTTTTAGATATATTATTAAAATTTTCATTACAAAATCGACATTTTTCCGAAAATTGTGTTTTTATGTTCATATTTTATAATACACATTCTACATTTTCCGTATACATCAGAAACTTTTTTTTACATGTTCCCCATTTTTAAATAGATGATTAACCTTTTTTTTACATATTCTGTTTGATGACTGCTTATTTTACACAGTGTACATTTTCTATATGCATCAGGACATGTTTTATGCACCTTTAACATTTTAAAAATATCTGATTAACAGTTCTTTTATACAGGATCAACATTTTTTTGAAATTTATGTTTTAATGTTCAATTTTTTAATACATGTTCTAAATTTTTTGTATGCATCAGGGACATTTTTTGTACACGTTTAACTTTTTTTAAAGCATATAATTTTGATGTTTATCCTTTTCCATACACATTATACAATTTTTGTATACATCAGGAACTTTTTTATATACACACGTTTCACATTTTTCAAATAAATGATTAACAATTTTATAAAGTTAGTTTTAAAATGTTTATCTTTTTTCATACTCATTGTGCATTTTTTGTATACACCGGAAACATTTTTTCTATAAACATTTAATATTTTTCAAATGCATGGTTAACATTTTTTTTGAAAAATGTATGTAGTTTTTAAATATATATAGAATATTTTAAATTATGTACAAAATTAAAGAAAAAAGAAATCAAAATAAAATGACCTGAAAAAGCGAAGAAGACTCCCATGCGCCTGGGTCGGCCCAGTATGGCTTTCGCTTCACGCGAGGCCTACCATCGAACTCACGTGGAGCGAGGTATAGCAGAGGCTAGGTATAGATGGGTGAACATTGTAATGGGCATGGTTACCTCAGTCTCTTTCTTAGTTCTTCTCAATGTGCAGAAGCTTGAAGAATTTAAGTCTACTTGTGGTATTCGACAGGGGATCATATCTCCCAATACCTCTTTTTTCTGGCAACAGAGGGTCTTCCGTGCCTCTTGAAAACTAGAGTTCAGATCTAATATGGTGGTATGCAAGTCGCTTCATCACCTCCATCGGTGAACCATTTGTTGTTTGCAGATGACAATCTGCTATTTTTTAAAGCAAATAATGGGAGAGTTGAGGAAGTTTATCATTGGTGGGAGACATATGCAAGAGCCTCTGGTCAAAGAATAAACAAGGACAAGTCTTCACTCTTTTTAGTAAGGGATGCCCTGAGAAGGCTAGGGGTGCAATTAAAAACATCCTGCAGGTCCCTAATGAGCAATTGAATGAAAAATATCTTGGCATGCCATTTAATGTAGGGAATTCAAAGAATGAGGCCTTCAAATATCTCAAGGACAGATTGTGGAATAATATACAAGGATTGATGAAGAAACTTCTCTCGACAGCTGGTAAGGAGATACTAATAAAATCAGTAGCTCAAGCTATCCCGGTGTAGTCCATCTTTTGTTTTAAACTTCCTAGAGGATTGTGCCTACAACTTACATCACTGATAAAAGCTTTCTGGTGGAGTATTAAGCAAGGCTAGAGGAAGCCCTACTGGGTGTCATGGGATTCTATGAGCATGCCAAAATACATGGGAGGTTTGGGTTTCTGAGATTTTGAAATTTTCAATTTGGCTCTCTTGGCTAGACAGGCGTGGAGGGTTCTTGAAAACCCTGGCTCTCTTAGTGCCAGAATATTGAGAGCGATGTATTTTCCGGACGGTGAGTTCTTGTCGGTCGAGCTTGGTGGGCACCCTTCTCAAATTTGGAGGGGAATGATAGAGGGTTTAGACACTATGAAGCTTGGGCTGATAAGGCGAATAAGCAATGGGAACATGATGACTATTTGGAACATGAACTGGTTACCCCAGAAGGAAAATATGAGGCCCATTGTTGCCTTAGTTGCTGATCCACCCCTGGTAGTCTCGGAACTAATTGACATTGAGAGTGCACATTGGAACACAACGTTGATTGAGCAAGTATTCTTACCATACTATGCAACATCTATCTTAAGGATTCCAGTGTGTATCCAGAACGCGGATGACTTCTGGTCATGGGATTTTGAGAAGAATGCAATATTTTCCGTTTGATCTACTTACAGGATGATCGTGGCAACGAAAAGGGGACATGAGGATTGGTTGGAGGAAAGAGCGGGATCCTGAAACAAAGCTGATAATGAGCGTTCTTGGGAAACTTTGTGGAAAGTGTCGGTTCTGGCGAAGCTGAAAAACTTCTTGTGGCGTTTGGCAAAGAGCTCATTACCTACGGAAGATGTACGAAAGAATAGAAAGATGACACACCATGAAGAATGTTTTGCTTATGGAGCTCAAGATTCGTGGAGACAGAGATAGTCGACCATGACGTACTCGATCACATGATAGCAACATCAAAACCCACAGCGCAAGCCTGGTTGTTTTCCATGATGGAAGTACTGAACCATGAGGAGTTGACAAGGTTTACGGTTACTATGTGGACAATTTGGGATGCCCAGAGATAATTAATTCATGAAGGGATACACCAAAGTCCATATGTTACACACACATTTGTTGTCAACTTCATAGTTGAGCTAGACCAACTTTCATTGCCACCATAGCCACAAATGAGGACAGCCCCACAACATTTTCGCCAAAATTTCAAGTGGATCCCACCAGCAGAAGGCTTCATACAAATTAATGTTGACACTGAGTATCATCAGAACGGAATGTGGGCACGGCAGCTGCTGTTTGTCGAGACCATGATGGAGCTTTTCTGGGCTCATCCATGCTGGTCATTCAGGGCATGACTGGCCCTTCGACGCTTGTGGCGATAGCATGCAGAGAGGGACTATCAATTGCACAAGATCTTGGGATGCATCTCCAAATTTCTTCGGACTGCAAACAGGTGGTACATCATATTCATCGAAAAGTCGGAGGAGACTATGGCATTATCATCATGGATCTTACAAGCTTCTCGTTTGTTTACTTCTAGTAATTTTTCTTTTAAATCTCGAGCATCGAACTATGAGGCTTATAGGCGAGAAGTGCATAGATGAACCCATGGGCATATGAATCCACTTTGGAAAATTTATTTCTAAATGCCAAAGAATTCTAAAAAAAATCACTCATGCATCACATTCTATGTGCGCACGGAAAGTTTCACGGGAAAACAACTTTTTCTTTGGCCTGTGCAGAGAAGACAAAAAAATGTGTCGTGAAGCGCATTAGAAGCACTGGAATTTGTCTTTTTTGCGGAGGCAAAACCAAAAGATATTTTTTCACAAAACTTTATGCCGTGCGCACATATTGCAAAGATGTATGCGTAAATTTTTTTAATTTTTTTTGACATTTTTAAATGTGTTTAAAATGCATTTTTTTTAAAGTGGGTTCATATGCCCATTGGTTGAGCACGTCCACACTCGCTTAGGCTAGCCAGTTATGGTGTTTCTCTCCTTGTCAGGAGGCATTTGTGGTTGGGTATTCTGCATGACCCAATTGTAATCCCTATAAACATTTACCTAATCAATAAAGGCCTAGCAGGCTTTTCTCAACAACAAAAAAAGGGCACAGCCCATCGCATTCTCTCAGAAAAAAAGGTACAGCCCCTCCCAATCCACAAACAAACCTCTCAAAAAAAATCCACCACAAAGCTGAACAACCGTTTCACCGTTTCGGCCGCTCAGACCGGTCGTTCCTCTAGGAGCCTTGGGACTGGTAGGTAGCTGCGAGCACGCGGCCTCGCAGGCTAGCAAAGCAGAGCACCCTGGCCGTAGTCTCCAATGGCCCCACCCTCACGCCAGCAGTCCATACGTTCAGGAGTTCATCTCTCGCACGCTTCCTCTCCTCCCGGCCATGGCGGCGGCAGCGATGTCCTGCTTCGTCGTCGTCCTCGCGCTCTGCCTTCTCGGTCCGCTACACGCACAGTTGCTACGGCGTTGTAGTTAACTGACATCGGTGTTTCGCCCTGATGCATTGATCGTGCATGTGCAGTGTCCATGGCGCTGATGGCGGGGCACTACTACGGCCGAGCGGAGCTGGTCGCCGGCCCTGGCTGCTCGCGGCTCCTGCGGGCGAACCCGCTCTTCGTGCAGGACATCACGGTGAGGACTGCGGAGGAGGAAGGGTCGGGAGCGAGCGGGATCGTGCTCTACGGGCTCGCCGAGATACCGGGCCTCCTGGACGACGTGCCCGCGGTGTGGTCGGAGGCTCGCCGCGTCGTCCTGCCGGCCAACTCTCACAAGGTACACTGCCCTGCACTCGCGCTTCCGTCGTGTCAGATGATCGATGCTCTACACGCGTGGTTCAGAAGTTCAGACTAAGCTATGCATAAAAACGGTGTGAACTAGAACTGTATTTTGTGTGTAAACGCGCACGCGCATGCAGGAATGGGTCTACTTCCTGAACAGAGGGAGTCAGATCGAGGTCAACTATAGCGTCGAGCCTGGAACTGGACCAACCAATCCACTCCGCGTCACCATTGCTCAAGGTAATAGAGGGTTGTAATTAATTAACATCCTAAAGCTACTACTAGTACTCATGTGCTGAGATTTTGAGCTTGCACAGCAGCAGGTAAGGTAGGCTTCACGCAGTGGTCAGAGGAGCCATCGGTACACGGTAAGCATGAGTCTCTGATGAACCGCAGCTGTGTGGTAACATTACAAGATCGTAACGTGCCAGGCCTTTCCAAATCACAGGAACCGGAGCAGTTAAGCAGAGCATCAATTCTTCCGAGGACTACTACATCACCGTCGGCAACCTGCGCGACCAAGACACGACGGTAACAATTTTGTAGAGTGGCATCCCATCCCATCCCATGTTCGGCCGGCGTGATCGATCTTGGCCTGTAACAGCAGTTGAGCGGACTACTGATTTGGGTTTTGGCATGCAGGCGATGCTGGATTTCAGGATCAGCGCCGTGCTCTACAACACGAGCGGAGCAGAGTACGCGTGCTCGCCGTCGCCGGGCGGTTCCGGCTGCACGTACCGGCTGCCGATCCTGGGAGAGAACGTGGCCGTCCTGTCGTCCGGCCTGAAACAGGTGAGAATAATGAACCTCTGAGCATTCAGCCACGGTACGGCCTCTGTTGTGAGCTTCTGAGACCGGACTCTGACGATGGACAGGGCGTGAAGGTGGAGCTCTCGTACGGGCCGCGGTGGATCGTCTACTTCGTCGGCTCAGGTACGGCGCAAATGCAACCTCAGCTCAGCTCCATGAAATCAAGCCGCTGGGATGTACTCCAGCTGAATGTTTCCTTCGCGCACAGCCATCCTGGCGGTGTCGCTGCTGCTGCTGTACGAGGTGCTGAGCGTGCTGCTCGGGTTCTGCTGCGCCGTCGCCGCGGCCCAGAGGGAGACGACGGCAACGACGGCGGCCTCGCTGCTGGAGAGCAAGGAGGAGGAAGAGGGCGGGAGCCGGGGCTCGTCCTTCGAGTCAGTCTCCTCCCACGACGGCGAGGCGGGCGACGAGGAGGAGGGGCGGCGGCTGTGCGTGGTGTGCTGCGACGCCCGGAGGGACTGCTTCTTCATGCCCTGCGGCCACTCCGCCACCTGCCACGCCTGCGGCACCAAGTAAGTATCATCTTATGCGCAGCTTCTCGTATTCTGCCATGGAAGGATTGTAGATCATGGGGGTGATGGTGGTGGTGCGTGGCAGGATTGTTGAGGGAGATGCTAGCTGCCCGTTCTGCCGGAGGAAGCTGAAGAAGGTGAGGAGGATCTTCTGCGTATGAGCGACATTCTGATCCGATGAAGGTTGGCTGGTCTGCGACCTGTGAGGAACCGAGGATGGACATGACCGTGAGGGTCACCAAAAAAAAAAAAGATTGACGCCCACCGTGGGGCTCGAACCCACGACCACAAGGTTAAGAGCCTTGCGCTCTACCAACTGAGCTAGACGGGCTTGGCGAATGGTAAATAATTAGCAGTTAGTTAGTGTGAGTTTTCAATGCGAAGAGCGTAGAATGGTGTTGACTATGACCGTGTACTAGCACTTTATGGCAGCCCGTAAGTGGTTGCTTTGACGATCATGGCGTTATCGGTTTTCTCTATGATACGATGGGCATTATCATGGTTGTTGGTCACTTTTATGTTTTGCAATGATGGATGCTCTCATCATTTGTGATTGTTCCCTTCACATGAATCATATTTCAAGTTTCCCCAGGGTCTTTCCTCTAAACCTAGACAATGAAACTCATGAGCTCCTCGCACTGGCTATTACCCCTCTCAACATATCTTAGTCTTTTTTTTCGTGGAAAGGCACCTTATGAAAAGCAATGGTTGGGAGGCCGTCGACATAGACCAAAAGATGACGATTTGCGTAGCAAATTGCAGCCCCAGAGAAGAAGATGCCGAAAAGTGCATGTAGATACTCCGAAGACTACAAACGCCGACCGAATCCGTCCAAATCCACCGTGACCCGGATCTAGAAAGATTCATTGAAGACATACCTCCACAAGCCCTCCATTGACGCTAAGTGCACTGACGAAACGTGGATAGGGCGGGAAGAACATTATTCCAAAACTAGGACAACACCGTCGCCTTGCCGCGCTGACCAAGACACAAAGACTCCCTAAAACTAGCCTAAACCAAGACACCCATACCGATGTACGCCAAATCCGAACTAGAGATCAAGACCGCCGCCATCTATGACCCCGTCTCTGGGGACCTTCGTACGTTGTCAGCACATGCAACATTGTCGGTGAGCTCCGCCGACCCAGAATCGCCGTCGTCCAGCCACACATTCGCCGCCACCACCAGCTCCGATCCACCGCAACTGGCCAACCCACCACATCAATCTCCCACATGGACAAATCCTTCTCGACAATGCCCTTTGGACGCAGGCAGAGGATTTGAAAAGTTGGTGGCGACGGGTGGCTACGTCTTCGCGAGAGGATAGAATGGGTCTACGCGTAATTTTTTATGATCATTTCTAGAAGACCCTTTAGGTTGTAGGTGAAATTCCAGGACATGTTTGAACGCTAGCAGACCCATGTCAAATTATATGTGAGATGTCCAAGGCTATCACTTTACTTGCCCACATCTTTACAATCAAGAGACATTTTCATGCATGAAACGGGGAAATGAATGTCAATACTTGACCCTGTTGCACCATTGCTAGTTTAGCCTGATGCACTCATGCACATGCTTGATCCACGTGCTAAACTATCAGTAGAAATCAACTTGACCCTGTTGCCGGTGTAACAGGGTAGCTCCATGCAGCTCCGCCCCTGCCGGCAATGCGTCTAGCATCATTGGTGGGCGTGTAGAGATGTGTCTCCGGCAGATCTATCTTTAATGGATTTGCTCGGATCTCGTCGTTGTTCGTCTACGTTCGTGTGTCTTCAGTTTGAATCCTTCCGATCTACGTTATTTTTCATCAGCGGCAGTTGCTGTTCTGGGGTGCTGGTCCTATGGGGTCTTAGCACGACGACTTCCCAACTGTCTACTACAACAAGTTGTGCCCGGCTCCGGCGATGGAGGGGCGATGACGGCGGCGCGCCTTCGGCTCGCTTCGGTGCTTGTAGTCATCGCTAGGTGGTCTACGAATCTAGATGTAATTTTTATTTCTGTTATTCGTTGTACTGCCAGATCGAAGATGAATAGATTGAAAGTTTTTCCGCAAAAAAAATAATACTTTGGGATCATTCTTCTTTTTCTGGCTCATAACTACAAGCAAGGACTTTGAGGAGTGGAGAGGGGCAATTCATGCACTACAAGTTGGAAGCGAAACCTGCCATATTTATCAGCAATGTCATATATATGTCGTGTGGTATTCTTATTCTCATGTCGATAGTGCATTAGCCAAAAGGCTGGATGGATGAGCTTGACTAGCTCTCATCCGGACGAAAATAATGAGGAATAAATTGTAAGTGCTTGTTGATGTTAAACTAAGAAATATTCTCTTCACTCTTCTGCATTATTCAGTTCACTTGTTTAAATATTTCATTCTTCACTTGACTCTTTTGAAGATCTCTATGAAAGGGACATGCAATTAATAACTACGTACATCTGAATTTTCCCTATTCTACATATATATGGTATAAAATACAAAAATTGGACTGTTATCGTACGTCCTTCGTTTCGTCGAATGGGCAGTCGATAGGGAACGATTCATGCATTACAGCACACGAACCTGCCATTTTCATCAGCAATGTTCCTGTATACTGCACTTATGTGGCTCTAATGGCTATATACACATAAGCGGGGATAGCTCAGTTGGGAGAGCGTCAGACTGAAGATCTGAAGGTCGCGTGTTCGATCCACGCTCACCGCAATTCATTTTTGATGATACATCTATTTTTAGTTACAAACAAACTTAAAACTCTGCAAGTCTTTCTGTTCTTATCTCTGAAAACTCTAGAAGTAATCCTTTTTGTTTTTATCTCTGAAAACTCTATCTTTTCAGTTACAAACAAACTGAAAACTCTGCAAGTGTATCTGTTCTTTTCTCTGAAAACTCTATAAGTAAATTCTTTCTGTCCTTATCTCTGAAATCTCTAAAAGTAATTATTTCTGTTCTTATCTCGGAATACTCTAGAAGTTATTTCAGAGCAGTAGTCTTTAGTTTTTTTTTTAATTCTGACTATTGATTTCCTTTCTTTTTTATGAGCTCTCAGAGCGGTAATTTCTTGTGTAAAGACTGAAGCCTGAAAGAGAGAGCAGACTAACTGCCATGATCATGCACATTGAAACTGTAACAGGGGTAGCAATAATCCAATATCCTTTCATTCTTTTCGACCGATAATCGACGGACTCCAAGAGGCCACAATATCAAACCCTCGTCACCAGACCAAATATAGAAACCCAGTCAATTGTCATCAAAGCTATGAACATGCCAGAATCTCTCAACATTGCACCGTCCTCGTCAGAATGGAAACAGGGAACATATATCATAGCCTTGTTCTATTGTCAGCAATTTGTTTCACATTTCTCCAGTTACAACAGGACATTGATCCTACAGCTACCCTCGACTATTTCCACCTTTCTCGTCTCGTCGAGTTACAGTCACCATACAAAATACATCCAAGCAACTGGAGCGTGCTCTACTTCTGCCATCTTTTGGTTGCCTTGGCCGAAGAGCCTCCCACCAACTGGTTGGATAGGGTCCTTGTGTGACCTGGTTTGTCAATATGATCTCATTCTCATTATTATCAGGAAAATTAACTATTGGCCTAGATAAACCTATTATATGGACCTCAAAATGAAATTTTCCAAGTTCTGAAAGTTTATTGAGCACTAGTACTAATATCTTTGAGGTGCTAGAAAGAAGTCATATGCTTACTTGGAGTCTTCAAAACTGCATCCCTTGGTTTTGGTCTGGAGATTGCTGGCTGCGCGCTTTTTGTGAGAGTTGATCTGGCTGTTCGCGATGGACCTCTATGCCTGAAATTATCGAGCACTACCAAATTAGTAAGCTTGCTTTTCAAAAGATGAAAAACTCTCATGACAATAAGTATAGACAAAAGAAGTTACTCCTGATGCATAGTCATAGTAATGAAAGAAACAATTGATGATTTTCGACAGAAAAGAAATAGGAAAGAAAGTGTACATTTTGGTATCGTCGATCATGTCGGAGTTAGAGTTCATAATATTCCTCCTGCCAATAGTATACTCTGTTTCTCTTACTAATGAACCATCTTCAGATAAATTGTCTTCATAATCTGCTACATCCAACCCCACAGCCACGATGTTAGTGGGTGAAGTCTGACTAGCATCTGCATTCACCTCGGCATAACTCAGAGGGTCTGATAGTTGTCTCTTTTGGTTTAATGTGATCAGCGAAGTCTCATTGGAACTAAAATTATTTGGCATGCTTGAACCATGGTTGTCAACAACTGAACTTGGGGACTTATCTTTGTCTTTCATGACTTGGAGCTGCTCAATTTCCATGTCTTTTCGTGAAATAGTGTCTTTCAAGGACGAAACCTAATAAAGCACAAACATCAACTTATATCCATAATATGAGAGAATCTTTATCAGGGAAATAAATTAACATCACCTGCAAGCGGACAGTGTGGGGTTTCAATTAGCAATTTACGCCACCAGTTACATAAAAACTTGAACCATACGTATCTAACAGTGATATTGTAAGCCCTCGTTTTATCTATGGTCCTATGGAAACTTGACAATTCATATTTTTAATTTCTTTCTATAATTTCCAAAAGTTGCGGTGGCAATTTTTCAAAGAGGGAAATAGTAGTGGCATTTCTCTGAATCGGCATAATTGGAGTGGCATTTATCTAGTTAACCCAAGAAAAAAATAGCAAGAGTTCCCAAGCTATTCATGTCTCGCTTTTCTATAGGTTTGTATCCATTATAAGAGTTCCCAAGCTATTCATGTCTCGCTTTTCTATAGGTTTGTATCCATTATTTGTTCAATACTAGCACAACACTATCAAGAATGTAGAAAAATAAGTAACATAACCCAGCAGTAAATAAACTCCTGCTATTTTGCTGCTAATTCTTCACAGTGTTTTGATACATGCTATGAATTGTAGTGTTTACGGTTTAACACCTTACCAACTGTACTTGTAGGTATACAACAATCACTTTGAGTCAAAAAATGGGGTTCCAACCCGTTATTAGAAGTGATCATAGAACGGAAATATCTATCTTGAGTTTTTAGGAGGATGTTCACAATTTAATATCACCTTTATATGTAAGTCTATCATTTTATTTTACACTCTTTCCCTAACTAAAATGGTTTCTTAAGTGCGCAAAAAAAAAAACT